ACGGCATAATTACAAGCGGAGTAACTTGACGTCACAGCAGGCATAAGAACAGCCGGTGTTTCTCGTGAGGGTTTTCCCCGGGAAACAAACGCAAAAATACACAAACACACACATACATAGGCCTACTGTACACACACACACACACACACACACACACACACACACACACACACACTCACAAGCTTCCCCCAGACCAGTAATCCAAACAAAAATATCTTCCCTCCGTTACTACTTTGATCATTTGCTAATAATCAATCAGATCGATGGATTCCAGAGAAGAGGAACTTTGAAGGCCTTTTTCTCAAAATGATGACTCGGTGACAGTCATTATATAATGTGACATATTTTGCTTAATATTTGGAGTACAAAAACAATCCTGATATCATTAGAAAGCTAGGAATCTCCTCTTTCCAGCAGTGTATACAACTCAAAACGTGTCTTCGGGTCAATGCGACTGATTTCGACAGGTCACATATGTACAAGTGCAGCTAGAGGGGCCTTTTTCTTAATCAGTCCATTAATGCCAAAGAGATAACTGTCAGGCCATGAGACTGTTAAACACCTGAAGTTTTGAAAGAACATCCATAACATTCATCTGTTTGCAACTCACATATATCAATATTCCAATTGCTGTATATAGACTATTCTGCACAGTTTCTATTATATTCTGTTTCTATTATAATCTGTTTTATTGTGTTGCACTGTGGGAGGAGCCTGTGACCTAAGATTTTCATTGTCATAACTACACTGTAACTATGCACACATAACCATACAAGCCTTGAAACCTTGAGGGGGGGAATAAAGGTATTCTGATTGTGTTTCCCCGCAGCTCTGTGCTGCTTCAGGAGATCCAGTCTCACCTGGAGCAGGGCCACGTGGCGATCGTCCTGGTGAACGCCGTGGTGTTGACCTGTGACCTCTGCTCCTCGCCCGTCAAATACTGCTGCTTCCTGCCCGTGGGACAGAAGTGTTTCTGCAGGAAGCCGTACCAGGGGCATTTCGTGGTGGCGTGCGGCTACAACAGGACCACCGGCTGCATCTTCTACAACAACCCGGCGTACTCTGACCGTGAGTAAACCCTCGTTGGATGTGGCATCACTGAATTTGTACAAAAATCAAGTCACAGTATCAATTGGTTACAGGGAAAAACAGACCAAACTGATTGAAAGGTATAATGTGTTCAAGTCCAGCTGTTAAACGGATACAAAATCTGCCATTAATGGACTTTTTACCCAATTAATGCAGCATTTTTACAACAAAGCTTTTAAAGAATGTTCGTTTTTTAACTGTACATTTTAACAGAAGATGTATTTTTGTTATTTCTTCTTGAGCGTCATATTAAATATGTTATAAAATATTAAAATAAATCCTGGATTTTACTTATTTATTCATTTGACTAAAACAACATAATATTGACATAAACTGAACAGAAATAGATCAAAGAAAAGCAAATTTTCAGGTTGATATTTGTATTTTGTGCCTCTCTTGTTTTACTTACAATTGCATTTGACAGAAGATTAAGAAAAAATACAAAAAACGGACCTTTCTTTTTGTGTTTTCCAGGCGTGTGCTGCACCAGCGTCAGTGTTTTTGAGGAGGCTCGGCGGAGCTATGGGACAGATGAAGATATCCTGTTGATCTATAAAGAGAGCTGATGGACAGTGAGGATGAGTTTTATCTTCCTCAGCGGATCGTCGTAGCGACAGGATGATTCAGATCCAAGGACTCACAGCTTCTATATTATCTTTCTCAGTTTTTCCGGTCTTATAATACCACCACTCGAAGGCTGGGATGATCATAATCCATATTGAATTTATTTTTATATCCACCTTCGCTGAGCAGATGAGTCTAAACTCATTTTACTGTGGAATTTTAACGACTGACTTTGGAGCTGAGGAAATCTCAAACTGTGAGAATCATGACAAGATAGGAAATGTACTTGTGCTTATAATCCATCCAGGACTGATGATGAGAACATTTAATTTATCCTTTTGAGAACGTCAGTCGCTTCCGATTGACCGTGATGGGATTTTATTTTGGAGTCAACGACGAAAGACACAAATATTTTGGTCAATTTTAAAAGATTGGTATAAGACAGTGGTGGGCGTTATTTAAAGGGCCACACAACGCTTCATCTCTTATTTTTTCCAGAAATAAGATCACATGAGTGACACTTGGAAGAGGCGGGACTTCCTCTCTTAATTTATTCGTCCTGTTGAATCCTCGTCACCAGTTTCATCTCCATCTAAATCCTCTTTACTTACCTCATTGTTACTTTTTATTCTTATAGAGTGGTGCAGGAAAGAGTCCGAAAACACGGAAATTAGTCTGTATTCAACGTCCGATGGTTTTTCTGAATGTGTTTTTGTTTTTTAAGCCTGAAATAAGGTCTGTGGTTAACACAACGTTTTGTTCTATGACATAAAATACGTGAGTTATACCCCACTGGTGAATTTTAAAATGGCAGTTGCTAACAAGTGTCTAAATGAGACGATTAAACGTCATCACGCCCAACATTAGCCGCCTTTAGCTTAGCGGTTGCTACGAGAAGTCATGTGACCGTGCTGTAGTTCCTGTATAGCCCAACATTAGCCACCTTTAGCTTAGCGGTTG